GTTTTGTGTTCCGCTTGCAGATAATTGGTCCTTGATGGTACACCTGCTCCTGTCTTGAAAAGCTTTGGCTGCGGCAGAAAAGAATTACCTGAAAACTCTAATATTTAACAGCACATTGCCCATTGTGACAAATAAACACAATTGGCAAGGTGTTGTGTAGGAGACATATTGAGAACCTCACTGCAAAAGCAAGTGCAACAGCACAGGAGGATTCTGAGTTTGTGAAGGATTAGTTGAATTCTAACACTTTTGGGGGGAGACCACAACAATGAGCACACCTTAGTCAAGCTGGAGTATGTCATTTACTCTGCACCTCTCCACTTTGTGTTTCTCTGTGTGCATGAGAGGACCAGTCATGCCAAGATTTCTGCATGAAAGGGAGAGTGTTTAGCTTTTGAGGCTATTTGTGCTTCTGACTCTGTAGTGTTTGTGTCCGATGGGAGGTGCCTGCGCCAGCTTCCTTAAAGGAGCAGGGGGTTTTGTTTGTTTCTCCGCCGTGCCAGGAGAAGTGACAGCCATTCCGGCTCTTTCACAGAAACACATTCATCTGTGTGAGAAAGGCGGCCGCTGAACTCAGATGAAAGGCCACGGGGGCTGCGTTGCACAGGAAGGCAGACTGTACATCGACTTCAGTACAAACACAACATAAGCCATGTCAATGACAGACAGACAGAAAGACAGACACAGACAGATTCAGAGAGAGATTAGGGGGGACAGAAATAAAGAGAGAAAATGGAACTAAGAAATATTCCTTTCTTGAAGAAACACAAGCAAACAGTAATGGCAAACAATGAATAGGGTATAAGAAAGAAAACATTGCAATAATTACACTACACTAAAGTTAATATGTTGATTGATATTAATTATGTATCTATTTGACTTTGTAATAAGATATTGGTCTCCAGACTGACCTCTGGTCACCATGAAGGTCCTATTACAAACAGCCTCCTTTTGACACAATCATTACATTAAAACATTTCTGGGCCACTTTAATTCATATCAGGCCACACAAATTAACATTTATTTTTAGTTTATGTAGTTAAAACAGGAAAGAAATAAGCCACATTATGCCTGTAACAAGTACTCTTTTTTATTGTTGAATAATTGCATTGAATGTTGTGTAAAATGTATTAACCATGTTAAAATAGTTTTTTTTTCGGCGAAGCAGGCCCACTGTTTGAGGTGACAACAACACAGGCCGGAGGACACTTTCATTTCTTGCAGTTCATATTCAATTAGAGGATACGGCTTTTGTTTTAAAAGTTTTCTGTCAAAACATGGTTGCCGACGACCTAACTTAATAGTGTCTCTACTGTTAATAGTGTTTCTACTGAGGAGACCCATTTGGAAAGTAACACACTGAGAAACGAATTTGGTTTAAAAGATACGAATTTAAGGTGTGCTCCCTAATTAAAATGTAGGTACTGACAGATTTCATAATGATGATAATCGCAAAAAGGAAGGCCTGTAAACAGCAGGTCATTTTAACGTCATCTAAAACATGTGACATCTACTTCACGTGTCATTTTATTTAAATAGCACAAGAACAAACGCGTTCAGAAGAAAAAGGTCACTGTGTATGTGCCTTATATAATTTCTTCCACGGGATTTATTTTTTTATTTTTAGTAAATTGTTTGTTGACTTGCAATGATTATTATTCATTTTGGCCTTTATATTGCGCTAGGGCAGTCTATTTATTTATTTATAAATTTGCCTTGTAATAATTCTTACTGTGTGTAACTATACCTACACATATATTTTATTTTACAGCACTCTCTTTTGATATTTAAATCCACCTAGTTAGTCCTTAAACGCTTCATCCTTCACAATGTGCGTTATGACGTGTCATATTTAAAAGAAAGGCAGTTTTATCAGACTTGACATGGCTGTCTTGAATAGTTAGATGTCACCAAGCTTCATTTAAAAAAAAACATTTTCATAAACATAAAACCAACAAAAAGTTTGCCTCTAACAAACAGAAAAAACAATGACACACATATATATATATATATATATGATGAAGTATTAATGACTAAGAGCATTAACCTATACTGTGGAGGTGTCTTGGGCCTGCTGGTGCTTTAGTTTTATTTTAAACTTTAAAATTGGATATATTTATACAAAATCACAGAATTTGTTACAATAATTATTTACAGTACACGAAAAAAGTTAACCGTGGACAATAAGTGAAGTTTGTGTGTGTGTGTGTGTGTGTGTGTGTGTGTGTGTGAGAGAGAGAGAGAGAGAGAGAGAGAGAGGTGAGAAGAGAGAGAGAATTAATCCATTATTATCAAAACACAACCAAAAACACACTGATCACACTGGTGGTATACAGCACAAATGACCTGACCTGAAATGACTGACAGGTGTGGTAGACCGGCAAGTACAGTCTAGGACAAATAAACATGCGCGCGCGTGCGGCATTGCTTGCTGTAACCATTCCCTGGAGGCTTACAATCACAACCGCTCCTTGCTTCGCCCTCTTACTCAAACGTCAACCGAACTCCCACTACAACCACAGTGAAGCGTCATTGAAAGAGTCTTGTCCCAAATATCGACATACTGGCTTCTGTCAACTGGTGATCAAAAATGTTTCCCCAAAAACAGCAGTCTCCGCCTCTCTCGCTGTCTCACTGGCTCTCTCTCTACCCCTCTCTCCCTCACACACACACACACACACACACACACACACACACTAGCGGGGTCGCAACACTCCTCTTGTGTTAAATAAGGTTGTGTGAAATAAGACATCCAGTAAAGCCTGAATAAATACTTGTCATTCTAAAATTATTTGCTCATGCTGTATTCAACGAATACACACTCCATCTCGCTTTAAACTGTTAATTCAATGTTGTTTTCTTAAAATAGCCTACATCATGAATCCAGGTAAAACCCAGAGGTGTCCCTGTTGATTTTCTTTTATTGAATAAAAAAAACGGGGTCAGCAGGTTTAACTTATAGTCCTGCCTCCCTGCAGCCTGGGCGTGTAGGCCTAACCATTGTAACTCTTCTTCTGTCTGGGTTGAGTTATGTGAGACAAGGACCGACACTCACTTTAGTTTAAGAAAACTCTGTTACTCTGTTAACGCGACTGTGACTAGGCATACACTAATGAAGAAAGTTCAATTTGCTCGTTAACTTAATGACCTCAAAGATTTCCTCCTGAACTTTGGCCTGAGTCCAAGTGTGGGTCCTGAAAAACATCCCCTATAAAACCTACAGGCCCAGCGTGGCAGGTTGTGTGTGTGCTCTTACAGTACAGTATCCTTACAGTACAGACAACCATGTACAAAGAGCTGTGAGAAGCGGGGGGGAGAGCGTTTCCTTCTCCACGGATCAATATCAGCGCAGCTGGAGCCGAACAGGAACCGGCATCTACACACTGTGTGGAGCTGGCCTTTACCACTTCCTACGGGTCACATCTTCCTCCACCGGAGAGGTCACCGGGCCAGCCACTGAAAGGACCGTTAGGAGGTGATTTCAAATAACTAAATAAGCTGCGTATAAACCACTGTTTTTCTCATCTACACCTGGGACATAGAGACACTCATCCCAGTTTAGACACTTTTTTCCTTTTGCGAAAACATAATTTGCCCTCTTTTGACTGGCTGAAAATAGAAATATGTGAGGTATGCCATAGGAAACTTATGAAAGGATTTTTCAGGAGAAAAAAAAACAAATTCTTTTCCTTCATTTTTTTCAGGAGGTTCTGATTGATTTTAGTTGATATAATTGCCTGGTTGTAATCAGCATCGCCTCCCTGGAAATCCTACCAAGCTTTTTATTTACTAGATAATTCTGTGAGCCAAGTAATGTGAGTAGCTTTTATAAAAGGAGACAACGGTGCCTGCAGTCTTGTAGCTCCACAACACGGACAGTGCCACTTGCTGCCTCAGCGGAGAGTCGGCCTGCAGCGCATTTCCGCCATCACAAACAGGTCCTACTAAGTGTTTTCTATGTTTCTGAAGATCTATAAAGCACGACTCATACAACAATAATGACAGCAACTTATTCATACACAAGCATGCGCAGTAAGCGGAGGCCAGCTTGCAAAACAACAAACCAAGTAACAAACAGCTAAATAAATTTCTCTAGCCGGTTTAATTCATCTATAGCCTTAATTTATGCTTACTATTTATTCTTCAAAGAGCCTCAGATCTGTATGAGCAATGCAAGCTCACTGATGGCAATCTATGCCATTATCTTCACTCAGCACTACAAAACGTCAAATTAAAACAAACACGCCTGAAGCCTCTTAAAAGCATCTACATTAATAACAGAACTGCGGAGACATATGGCCATCTCCCATAACAGCTTACAACTAGAGCACGAAGAAGCTCTCCTGGACTAAGTCGAGTCAAGTTCAAGTTCACCATCTCCTGTGCAGTGGAGTGTCCAGCATGGGGGGAGGGGTTGCATTTTAGGGCTGTGTTTTTTCAAATAAACTGACCTGGGAGAATATAAAGTGACAAGATATGATATAAAAAAGAGAAACGCTGTTTCTCCTATACAAACAGACTGGCAGACACTTAAGCACTGAGTGTGCAAAATAAAAATGCTTACTTTGCATAAGCTTATTTTCTTCATTTAAATTCAAAATGTTAAAACTCCAAATACAGATGCTTATAAATAGTTAGTACTGACTTCCTTCTTATATGGGTTGTGTTTCTCTTCCGAACAATTCTGAATATGTACGCAGTTCACTTAAATTCCCAAATCTCTTGTTAATTTTAGCACCATAACAGCCACAATGTCTAGGGCCTGTAAACAAACAAAGCTTGAGGTAAAACACCATAATGTTCTTGAGCCTAAGGACAAGAATTGAGAGCAGGAAGAATTTAGAGAGTTCATGACTAAGTTATACCATCTGAGACGCAATAAACTTCCCTGAGAATGCCTGATTCATTCCAAAACAGACAAAAAACTTCCCAAACAAGATGCAACTCACTAAACTGCACCAACAACCAACAAAATAGAAAGCATGAGAAAGCAAAGGAAATATTTAGCACTTGCAACACCTTTTATTATATTTGTATGCAGTAAAATTCTTATCACAATAAGGAAGAAAACACCTCTTAAAACTTTGAACAAAAGCACATAACGAAACAACTGCCCATGTTTAGCTCGTAATTGTACATATTTATAGTAAAGAAACATTCTTTATAAATACTGTTTCATCTGTAGCAAGTAAATACCATAATTTAATTACAAATGGATAAATATGGCAGTTGATATTTACAAAAGGAAGGGTGTAGTTACAGAAAATCGAACGGCACAACGTTTATTTTCCTCACAATCTTCCAGATAGTATTTCACAATTCAAACTTGCAAAGCACAAAACATCACAAGTTAAGCCCAGCAAACTAAAATATACATTCACAAGCATAATATTGTGGTCTGTTTGAGTTAAATGTTAACTTTGGCACTCTTTCCAGTTTATAGATGTTTAGTATAGTACAATCAATTTGCCTTAGGATCACAATATTCAACATTATAGTACAATTTTATCGTAATATGTGCACTAAAAGTCCAGTTAGAGAAATAGCTACCATTGAAGGAACATCTATACACCAAAGACTGACAAACTATCACAACCAATGGGAAAGTGGGCTTTTAGTAATTATTTACAATATGAAATACACCTCGACTATAATACATATTTTCCTTTGTTGGTAATCCTCATTATCCCTGGTGAATCAAAAATAATGAAATCAAAAATAAACAAATGTAACAAATGTTTGTGTGCCTCCTGTGTGCACTTGTCCCAATCTCCTGCTGGATGGTCCAGTGCTGTGAAATGAGTGTGTGTTGCTTCATTTCAGCTTAGTCCTAAACATACCATTCACTGAAATTGGAGGATAGGCCACTGTGGCTGGTGGTGTTGTGCACAGCTGAGGCTGGAGACATGGTGGTGTTGCTTTGGGTCTCAGTGGTGGGAGACACCAGGCCTGGGGGTGTGGAGGATTCATAACCAGAGCTGGCTGCTGGTGATGAGTCTGACGCTGGTGGGGAGGCTTCGTGGACCTGGGAAAAAAGAAAGACAAATAAGTATTCACAAATCCAACATGTGCTTTACAAAAAGAAAAGCTGTTGGATGAAGATGGGAATGAATTATGCACACTCTAAAACGCTATCAGTACTGTAGTCATTTGCGTGCATTACAGAGGCCTGACATACATACAAATGCAACAATTCAGCACACAGTTCTTGACATGAGGTATTTACCTTCATGTGTTTCCGTAGAGAGCTGGGATGTGTGTAGGACTTGTCGCACATTTTGCAGAGATATGGCTTGTCCGACGTGTGAACATGCATGTGTTTCTTTCGATCGCTGCTGTTTGCAAACCTTCTGTCGCAGCCCTCAAACTCACACTGGAACGGCTTCTCTCCTACAGGAAGAAAAAAAGGAAAAACACTGTCAGATATATACTTTTACTAAGAAACGCCTCGGGCTGAGTGTGTAACTACAAGGAGCTGTGCCGCTTATTGGGTGCGTAAAATTCAAATGCAAAAGTTGAGTGTATGGTGCCATGGAAGTGTTCCCTAAAAATAACCATTTTTAAAACAACTCACATCATGATCCCAATTGTGCTAGAATGCTTAAACGCTTATTTTAAAACGAGATGGGGGAGCTTCTACATCTTATTTAGCCTAAATAATGCGCATAGTGATTTGGAGGGGGTGGGAGAGGGGTACAAGGCCGTCCTCAGTAGGCCTACAGAAGGCGTACCATTTGCTGGGAGACAATAAAAATCTAATTAGCACCTGACCAATTTCATGGCACGGCACCATAATGTATTTCCCAAGAAAATAAGTCCAAATGTGAAAGGCTGGTAATGGCCCTGTCTAGCACCTTAGCTCCTATCAAAGGGACGCATGAGGAAAACAAAAGGCAATCCTTAAGCATGATTAATACCACTGGTGTTGTGCTTGGCTAAACCTTCACCACAACACCACAAATCCTAAACAAACAGGAATTCAGTACAAATAATTTATCTAAGGGCAAATTACGGCAAATCTATGTGATAAAGGGAATAATAAGAATAGTGTGAGCTATAAAAAGCGCAATATCGAGAACAAACTACATTAAAACCTTGTGTTATGACGATGCAGGCAACACGCTCCCACTGACCCATTTTTAAAGTTTACCCCAAACAATAAAACATCGACAGACACATTTTTTTCTACACGTTTGGAGAATGTTTTACGACAGAATAATTGTTAAAATGTGCCTGGTGTCATTAGTACAATGAAGACATTATTTCGCTAATCTAATCCCATCTCACCTCTCTCTATCTCTCCTGGATTTACTCCTAAATCTACTTTGACTGTTTCTACGAATACTATCTACTGTAGCAGTCTAAAATAGCCACTGATAATCAGGATCTTAATTGTTTTCTCTTGACAGGGCACATATTCACAACAGCCAAATGCACGTTCAACAACAATAAAAACAATCATACTGATTAACCAAAAATCTATTTTAAGAAGCCGTTCACGGCATTGGGATAATTACCTGTATGTGTTCTCTTGTGTATCTTCAAGTTTTCCGACCGTGCGAAAACCTTCCCGCAGCCGGGGAAGGGGCAAGGAAAGGGCTTCTCCCCGGTGTGCACCCGAATGTGGTTCACCAGTTTGTATTTCGCCTTAAACGGTTTGCTCTCCCGGGCGCAATCCTCCCAGAAACAGACGTGGTTGGTCTGCTCCGGTCCACCGACATGCTCCACCGAGACGTGTGTGACCAACTCATGCATGGTGCTAAAAGTTTTGTTGCAACACTTCTTTGGGTTGCTGAGCTGCTCGGGGTCGATCCATTTGCAGATGAGTTCCTGCTTGATGCACTGTTGCCTCATGTAGCGGAAAAAGGCACCGGGGTGGTGGTGGGCTGCCATGTTCATCCCCATGTTCATATTCATGGAGCCGTACTGGTTGTGGAGCTGCGCGGCCGAGTAAGGGTCGGTCCTCGGGCTGGAAACCTGGTGGTACTGGTCGGAACGTCCGAAAACTTCTCCGGGTAGTCCGAGCCTCATTTGCCCGTTCAGGACATTAGGGGATCCGTGGGACCCATGTTGGTCGTGGATCCCGGGGAACAGAATGTGGCCTTGAGTGTCTGTGTGGGAGTGATGAAGGGATCCCGCCGTGGGGCCAAAAATAGTATGCTGGCCGCTCGCCGGAGAGGATTCTCCGAAGCCACGACTACGAAAGAGAAAGTCCCTGGTGGAGTTGAAAGGAGAGCTTGCATACGACGTGACATGAGCGGCGTGAGCCCCCAACGCCGCAGCGGGGTAGCCCGGCGCCTGGGTGGTGAAGGCAGAGCTCTGTCCCGGAGAGAGATCATGGTTCAGCTTAAACGCACCCATGTGTGCGGAGTCTACAAAGCTATTTTGTGCCAAACTCAAGTCTCTCTCCTGCATCTCGCTCGCAGAGTGGTGCCTGGCAAATGACCCCACTCCCAGTCCGGGGAACTGGTGACCAGCATCCAGTAACATTATTTCAGTAAGCGATTTTTTTTTTGTTGCTTAAATCAGCGCAGGGTGCAGGTCTACAGCGGGTAAGTTAAAGAACAAAATCAAATGTTGATGCTGGCAAGCAACGATTCAACTTCCAACCTTGGAATCACCATATCAGGCGTGATTTAAAACGCTGCTCCGCTCATGAGGGGGAAATCAGCTCGGCTTACCGCACACTGAATTTACTTCTAGTTAACTTGCGTTTCAAAAATCCAAATGAAACGAAGTGAGGAGTTTCCTTGTGTCCTCTTCTCCTGACTGCGACAGTTGGCTGAGTTAAAATGCACACGACGAATTAAATAATTATCTTACTAGGTGTCCTCTGCGTAGACAGGGCGAGAGTAGTTGGAGCATCTCAAAAATCGCTGCTGCGATTGGGTATGTATTTATTTCTCTGGCTCGCCTATGTTTATTGCGGAGTGTCCCTGTTTCTCCGTGGACTGGCTCTACCTCTTCTTCCGCCCCCTTTAACTGGAGCCCGTTCATTCATTCCTCGCAGTCTCATTGGCCACTGCGCCTCATCAATCCCAGGTGCCCCTCCAATAGCAGGTAGCGCTTTGGCGACTTAATAGTGCAACGCCATTTTCCACTAATAATTACCGCCTACTTTTAGGAGAAGATTTAGGGGGTATACAAGCGAGAGGATCACGACAAGAGAGAGGAGAGAACCTGTTTTGTTGTTTATATTCCGTACGTGCCAAGTTGCAGTAGGATAGATAACCAACAAAAGATAAAAATGAGGCATTTGATGAGAAATAATATTGTAGATGATACAAATGTTTAGAGCAGGCAGTTAAAAAAAGTTAATCTGTTAATCTAAATATAAAGCAAAACCTCTGTGAATTTAAAATTTGGAAAGCAGAAATGATCACGCTCCTATCAACCTACACAGAGAGAGCCCTGATATTAAATGTATGGCTAACAAATAACTACCATGATATCAAAAACAACACGGACAGCGCACTATGTTCAGTCCGCCTGGCAGTATAACTGCAGAAGATACGAGACTGGTTTTATTTCCAGGCATATTCTCTTCTATAGCTTGAATATGAAATAATTTTGTTGACCTCAAAAGTCTACTAAAATACTATTTGGCAAAAAAAAAAAAAATGCAAAACAGGTTAATGTTCTAATGCAAAACATTAGACTTGCTTTTTAAATAATGAACTCAATGTACAGCTGTACCACCTGTCCCTTTTTTTTAATAGAAACTAGTATCAGAACCAATTAGAATACATTCTTCTATTTAAACATAGAAAATCTGAAATGCTGATATATCGTAATAATATCTTAGGTCAGGGTTAATAAAGTTAAGAGAATCATTCAAATCTGAGAAATTCTCGCCACTTAATTCTCCACAGCTGAAAAACCTTGTGTGGCTCCATATGGAGTCCAGTGGTTTTTCACTGGTTGTAGAACCACAGCTGGGCCTTTAGTGGTGCTCCAGCGTTCACACTGGCAACCGCCAGTGGTTGTTGTTGGTTCTTTTAATGTTTCCATATGTTACTGGTTCTGCTTCCTCGGTGGTTCTCACATTCACCACAGCAATTAGGTTACATGTTATGGTGGTGAACTGCGCTTAGATTCAATGTAACCATTAGTGACCCATAAGGTCGAGTCTTGCTGGAGCCCATTATTAGAAAGTTTTAGCAATACATGTTTTTCAGTTGATATTGAATTAAGATGTCATTGTGGTCTCTGTTAGCATGGGTCAGTTTAATGTTTAGTTTTAGCCCTCAAAAATTATGCACACAAGAAAACAATAGGCTGTAGCACATACACCCACTATTTTTGTTAAAACTGTTAACCGTAATATTTTTTTTCACAATATATCCTTTTTTGGTTTCCGTACAGGCACAAAAACATAAAACTGCTAGAGGGAAGTTATTTTAAACAAAGATTCGCTTCATTTACTGACAGCTTTCTATTACAAACATGCACTGAATATGCGTACAAATGAAGATATACAGGCCATACACCACAGCTGCTCGTTCACGTAGTCAAAGGAAGTTTACTTACATTTTCAACAAAACGAAATCCCACAAGTATTCCACGAACCATTACACATCACCTTTCTGTGTCTGTCTTAGCTCTCTGGTGCTCTGTAAGCGACAAAATAATGGTGAATGCGAGGGAAACGTTTTAAAAACTTTTTGAAATTGTGTGAGTCTTAGCTCAGAGTGGGACAGGCTGAGCGTTGTGTGCCATTCTTCCAAGTCTATTTCAACCCGCACCACAGGAAACGCAGGAGCTGATCCAAGTTCAAAGTCACGTCTGCCGACCCCTATAAGAAGTTCTTTATTTCTCTGGAAAACCACAAAAACCTTCCCCAGATAGGGAAGCGAAAGAAAATTAAAAGAAAAAAAAATCTATTGGGGTTTCCCTTCTACTTGGAGAACAAAGGGGGTCCTGCCTATTGAAAATCCCCCAATGACCAGTATTTTAACAGCTTTTAGGATCAGCAACCCACATGTGGACATGGCCTACAAAATGTGATCTGAAGTTAGAGTTGACAGAAACTAAAAGCGTTAAGATTGGGAGTATGAAGCAAAGCTTATCACTAAAGTCAGTAGTCTTGATCACATAAGGTAGCTCTGCCTGTGTCTTATATAAGGGGGGGGGGGGGCAAATGCATATTTCTCCTCTCAATTATCTGACAATATCAATATGTTGAGAAACTGGAAGATTACTAGCGTGGCTTCCCGTGACCTTGTGTTTCATGGATGTTTGACCTCTGACCCGTTAAGACCACATATGTTGCCCTCTTGACTCCTTTTGGTAAAATAACCCTGTTTATGACAAAGCTTCTTTGTTTTAAAGAGAGAGGGAGAGCGAGCGACCAGGAGAGAGAGAGACAGAGAGAGAGAGAGAGAGAGAGAGAGAGAGAGATGCCCCCCTTCTTCCGTGTGAGGCATCTGCATCATTGGGTAGTTTGGTAGCTATAAGTCAATGAAAATTAACCCAATCCTTCAGGAAAGTTCAGACCCGACTCACCCTCTATTAATTTAGATAATTCAACACTTTATGTGATATAAATCACTTTCCGTTCATTTGACATGTTAAAATATGATAAATGTGGAAAATTCGGCGGCAACGTGTGACACCGTGACTGAGAAGTGTAATGTGTAGCTTAGGCCTCTTGCAAAAATTGGACGTGCATGATGTTCACAAATTGTCACGGTTGAGCAACAGGGATAGTAACTGATGCTGCCAGAACTGCTGTTACCATTTCTCATCGAAATGATCACTGTTGTTGGTAATTTTGTATAGATTAGGCCCCATTTAATGTGGAGTTTAATTGCATGTGTATGAAACAGGGGACCTTAAACAAATCATGAACAACGAACCCACTGCTCTTATGTGTTTTATGGGTTTACAGAAGCTCTCACTGGAGCTGAGCATATTTTATTTATTTAACACAATCCCCAGAGACAATGGCACACACACGTGGTCACGGGTAATTTGTTTTTGTAACTTTCAAATTTCTGACGAAAATACAAATATGACACAGTCCTTATGCAAATAAATTGAAAAATAGGCAGCTGTTTATAAGCAATAAACTGATAGAGAAACTGGCAAAAAAAGAAGATCACAACAGCAGTATACATGCATTTCATTTGGAAGAGTAAAAGACGTTATATATCAATTTTAGAGGTTTTGGCATAAAACCTCTATTCCGAGCCTTCCTTTCATTTCGTGTTTATCAAGTTCATAAATCAGTTTCAACAGAGGAGCACGTGCAACAGACCCATAACATGTAAACCCTTCCCTCTCTAAATACGATGAAAACCAATTATAAAACATGTTAGTGAGTGAGAAAATGTGGCATTGATTAATATATTTTGAGTTTTACATTTTAAGGCCAGCCTTGCACAACTAGATTACGTGATGATTTATAGTTGAGAGGCCAGCTCCCATAAATCGATTGGGAAGGTGTCTGAATGAAGACATGTCAATGACAGATACAAGTCATGCTTTCAACAGGGACTATTCAAATCCGTCATAGTGAACATAAATACAGTTTCACAAGTGTCTGCCAACCAAGATTACAAAAGTTGAATAATAAGTTTAAAAAACTATTAAAGAAATGACACCTTTTACAGGCCAAGACATTCACTGAAACAATATTATAGGTTACGCTGTAACAGTCTTAGTTTACTGCTGCACGTTTATAACTCAGGTCTGCCTTAACTTGCAATATATTTAAGCCAAGATAAAATATTTTTTATGGATTTTTATTATTGAGGCAAAAATGTCTGAAGAAATAAGAATTTGACTTTTTTTTTTTTTTTTGGGTTTTCCTAACTTAGTATAGTATGATCAGAATGACAGCTTATACACTACCTCAAACTCTATTTAAAGTTTTTTTTTAAATTAAGTTATTAAGATTAATTAAGTGCAGTGGTCATACTGTTCTTATATATTCGTATATCATATGCAGACAATACTGGTAATGACGGTTAGGGAGAATAGGTTAAAAATATGGCAAAAAAACTAAACAAAAAACTGCAAACAAGCCGCAAACCTATTTCTCTGGTGTTTTCTGATCTATTTTGTTTTATTTAATTACTTTTTCACCCTGTATTTTTGTTTTTTCAGTTAAATTGTTTGTATAGTTTATCAATGCAATGGCTTTCCACAAGTGTTCCTGACAAATCATGTTCCGTTTTAGGAGCTGCACATTTTCAAAATGTTTCTTGATAGCTAAAAGAAAATATCTGAAACTGTGTTAATGTTGTCTTTTTTACACATCTAGCCTATACACTGGTCACATCTTTTCCACTAGTCCCAAACATCCATCCAACAGCAGCAGGCTTTTTTCCGCGTTTTTCTTTTTTTTCCCCATAATGGCAATAGTAAGACACTTGGACAAATCAGAGATAAACTAGGCTGCGTTTGTCACATAAACTGACATTTCGGTCTTCCACATGCGCCAGCACCAGTAAATAGAAAGCCGCACAAACAGATCTGCTGGTAACTTTGTGAGTACAACTTTTTGGAGTCAACAGCGATAAAGAGAGTGAGGGGGCGGAACCCTGCTGAGCCCCTGCGCTGAACGACAGCCAATCGCTTCGTTCTCCTAACTGCCAGTCACCGAAATCCGTCCAATACCCGCAGTGCCATTTCTAAACTGTATTCCCCACTGTGTCCTCCAACTGTTGTATGTTCTGCCAATCGCTTGAGGACAGAGTGGGGAAAGGAGCAAGCAGAGTTAGAAGCCGGACAAAAGAACTTATAGACCCCTTATATACATATTTTCCTAATGTTTTAGAGAGCGTGGTGTGGTGGAAAAACAATTGCGGTGAGTGCGGATGGACTTGTCAGTGTAGTTATGGAACCCCCTTTAAGCAAGAGGAATCCGGCGATAAGATTAGCGGATTTGGCAGCGACTCAACCCCTTCCTCATCAGAATATGACAGGCTTCCCGGGGCTAGGGGGGCATCACCCTCTCTCCCACCATGCCCACCTCCACCCTGGGGAGCTGGGCAACGACCCCGGAGTGGCACTCACTCCATTTGGACCAGAGCACATGGCACAGACAAATGCTCTCAAACTTAGCCCATCTCAGCACATTCAGAGCCATCCCGAAGCCCAGACAGCGGCATCTTTCACTTCTGCTCAGACCACAGTTGGTTTCCCCGTGGCTCACCCCCACTCAGGCTACTCAAGCAGCAGGGACTTCATCCTCAGGAGAGAACTCTCAGCCTCTGCTATGCATGCACTTGGCGACCAGCATAGTTCCGCCTCCTCCCCTCATCACCATGGCATGTTCATCTCCCCAACAGGTGCTTATGGGCACACGGAAAGTGGGGCCCATTCACTTTTCTCTGGACTTCACGACCAGGCGTCCCCAGGTGCCCACCACCATGCCCTCAATGGGCAAATGCGCCTGGGTATACCGGGGGACATCTACGGCAGGCCAGAGCACTTCGGGCACAGGCCAGAGCACTATGGACCCTCTTCTCTCCACAGCTACAACTCCATGAACCTCAATGTGAACATCGCTTCTGCTCCTCACGGAGCGGCGGGGGCGTTTTTGAGATACATGCGGCAGCCCATAAAGCAAGAGCTAATCTGCAAATGGATTGACCAGGAGCAAAATCAAAAGAAGCCCTGCTCTAAAACTTACAGCACCATGCACGAGCTGGTCAACCACGTCACGGTGGAGCATGTCGGGGGACCGGAGCAGAGCAGCCACGTCTGTTTTTGGGAAGAATGTCCACGGGAAGGAAAAGCTTTCAAAGCGAAGTACAAACTGATAAATCACATCCGAGTTCACACGGGAGAAAAGCCCTTCCCGTGTCCTTTCCCGGGCTGTGGAAAAGTGTTCGCTCGATCGGAGAATTTAAAGATTCACAAGAGGACTCACACAGGTCAGTACATCTAATTGTGTAAAACTTGCCTCGCAATGTGAAAGGGTGACCTTGTGTTGTTATTCACATCCGAAATGGATGGTCAGTGCGACCGAGCGCTATTGCGCATGCAAGCCAGCAGAAAAGTTTTATTCAGTGAAGGCTCGCACAGTGAGTAAACGTGTTTCATTTCCTTTCTTAAATATACACCTTTTTACTCGCCGAGACGCCTGATGTAGGCGTGAGAGGATTATGGCATATCATTTGGAAAACGTGCTTACGTGCATGCAGGACAGCACTAGAACACGCGTAAATGTAATTATCCTCAGGCGTAGGACGTTTACGCAGAAGCTCAGTTTATACATCGACAAGTCTCTCCACATGGTACGCGATATCTTAACGTATGCCAGGTGTATTAGTTTTAAGCATTGGTTTATTGTTAACCATCCGGAGTATGAGCTATAGGCTATAACCTCTGTGGGCTACTACTGTCTGTGGAGAAATCAAATATATCCTGATATACTGTCCAACCAAAACAACTGCGTTGTGATGAATTGTTGCTTAGTGCTTTAAGGTAAAGACCATGAGTCTTAGCAGAGTAAGTTTCCACAACATTTAAAATCTAAGAGTGTCCGTTTGGAGATTTGTTTTTGTTGTTGATACTTAGATTAAGGGTCATGTTTTGGCTAAGGGAGAGCTAAATTTTGGCCTAATGCCACCCGCCTTCTTACTGAATGATGTGAAATCCCCAGGGAAATAAATAATACGTAATCTATTAAAAATAGAAGTCATCAGAAAGTCCATCTTACACTTTCGTATTATTATCATTATGACAACGCGCACTGCACACCATTCCAATTTAAAACATACATGCACTGTGCAGGCTATGATTTAAAAAAAAAAGAAGAAGAAGAAGCATGTTTTTCATTTAAGGGTGACAGTGCCTGTGAGAGAGATAGAGAGAGAGCGCGAGAGATGAGTTATAACCACCACGATACTTAAACGGCTCCTGGTGGTCTTCTGACTGCCCCCACCACACACATACATGTAACCAGAAGGCCTAAAGCCATGTTGCACGTGGTCACACATGAACATGCTTTGGATAAGTGGGTGTGGAGCATTGGCTCCAGTAGATGTTTAGTGTGTACGCTTTGGTGAAGAGGAAGCCCCAGTGGAGAGGTAGGCCTGCAGGCTGCTACACAGCAGAGTTCATGAGAAGTTACCCTCGTGTTGTATTTATTCAGGTATGCACTTCTGAAGTGTGTAAAAATGTATCTACTCTCTATGTTTTCTAAAGCAGTGATATTACAGCACATGACACTGACTGCATCTGTTTCTATTTTATTCCAGGAGAGAAACCCTTTAAGTGCGAGTTTGACGGCTGTGACAGAAAATTCGCCAACAGCAGCGACCGGAAGAAGCACTCTCATGTCCACACCAGTGACAAGCCTTACTACTGCAAAGTCCGTGGCTGTGACAAATCGTACACACACCCGAGCTCGCTGCGGAAGCACATGAAAGTGCACTGCAAGTCCCCGCCGCCTCCTTCCACCAACGTCCCCTACATTTCCTCCACAAATCCTCTTGGAGACCCTCTCACGCCCAACTCCGAGCCCCACAGGAACCGCTCTGCGAATCTCTCTCCTCAGGTCACCAACCTCAACGAGTGGTATGTGTGCCAGGGGAGCGGAGGACCCAACCACCTCCACACCCCGTCCAGCGATGTGCCAACGTCAGATTCAGACGACGAGGACTCTTTCAGACATTCAGACCCAAGGACAATGCTTTGATGCCCTGTTTACAACCACGTGACTGTCAAACCTGACCGGTTAAAGTGTGTAGGTCGTGCTGGGCCCGTGCGCTTGGGATGTTGATCAGTTATTTTCACTGTAGTATTATTAAACGACTGTGCTACATGCAGATCACTCATTATTATCTTGGAGGCAATGCAGGCCTAGTTACATGAGGAAGAATTTCTCTGAGGTGACCCCTGACCTTTCTTAAAATGTGGATCAAAACTATCAAAAAGAAACATTTAACACTGACATTAGAGCTGAAATTAAAATTCCCTGTTTGTTATTTGAAAGGACCAACAATTTTAGATTTCTGAAAAGAACTTTTAAGATTTTTTTTTTATTATTATTATTATTTTTTTTTAAACCACAGTAATATGTAGGGTTTAATTAACAGCATGGCTTAAGGCTCAACTGGTGTGCTGAAATGACATCTTTCATGTGACCTCCCATCATCCCCTTGCAGTTTAATAATGTGCCTGCTATCAATCACTGTCATATTCCAGACATTTAAGGAAAACAAATGGTACTGCTTTCAACCCCACACATGGCAACAAATGGTAATGGAGACAATAGAGGATGAGGCTTTTTTATGTGCGTGCTTTCTTTAAGATGTGGTACAAACTTTGATAAACCAACAAGGAAAAAAAATTAAGAGGCAAACATCTGAGTGTCTTAAGGGTTCTCATTGACCTTTTCAGATTTATACATGTGTTTGGATGGAATTTTGTAATATTTAAGAACTATTTAAGACTATATTTTATGCAAAATACACAAGTGTTATGCTCGTTAAAGAGTATGAGTAAGTCCCTTGAGACCCTAAATGTCTACACTGACAGGCTTTGACCCTGTAGGATTTGTATATATGTAACTGTACTGATGCTTGTGAATGTTGTGTAGTTTTAATTACAAAAAAAAATGTTGTTTTGTACATTGTAATTTATTTGCTGGTATCAATGTTGTATTTTAATTACAGGAACACCAAAGAATAATAATATCAGTTTTGGTGATGCATAGTACCCTGCTGATGTTTTTTTTTTTTCCTCTCAATTTTGTGTTATTTTTTTGTTCACTTTTAAAAAAAAATTAATTGTGGTCTGTAAAAGAACAAAACATTTACTTGAATAGGCTGTGTAATGTGAAAAGTCCCTTTCTGGCATGCCTTTTGTAGTGATTTGTCTTTCTCTTTGAGGTGCATGGTGCAGTTGGACATGATGGATGAACAAAAAAAGAAGACATAAATCAACTATGATTGTGCAGACCCTTGATGTTCAAAATTAAATTTACAATATAAATTTCATGCTAAAAATTAATAAAAAAAATCAGGACATATACAGTAAATAGTATGTAAAAGTGTCAAATTATTATGATTTATGAGTGAATTTGATTGGAGTTTGGGGAAATTGACAATCACAGAATATTAATGGACTGGTTACACATAAATTCGACTGGACTCGATTGCTGCTTTTTGTAAAAAGTATTTTAAGATGCTGTACATTGATTGTCAATTTATTACCTTTAAATGTGAAATGCAACACAACATCAATGTCATTATCACATCAAATGACAAAGTAGCAGTAGCTCTGTTCATTTCCTATCCCGCCATTTCTATAAAATATCCACTGTTATCTTAGAATTAGCCAGGGAGGCTGGTATAAACTAATCACTGAGCTAATGGGAAAACTTATAGCCCCCTGATGGCTCTACCTCTGAAAGGCGCGACGGCACAAAGCAGCCGAGGCATGAATCATTCATGGGAAAAATAAAAGATAAAAGATCTGACAATAAGCAAGGCCTTGTATAGAGTGTATAAAACAAGTTCCCCCTCTTATTTCCTCCATTAAAACGCACAATCTCACTTTCAAAGAGTTGCCTGTCCAGTCTATAGAATTAAAATTGACCAACGTGAGTCCTGCACCACATCAAAGGCTGCAGCTTCTGAGAGGAAGGCTGGCCGCTTTGACAGTCTTCATGGTGCGTTAGGATTTCTATGGCAATCGGGGACTGAGACGCTCACATTTCAATGTGTCTGGTTGAAAAACACTAACTGCCATTAAATGAACTATAATCAAAGCTCAGGATGAACCCTCGACAGAAATGTGTGTTGCCACAAATACACCGTTGGCAGGTAGATGACACACGCTGTAGACTCTCTGGTTGCATTTGCCTGGAAAGAACTGAATGAATTCAGAAGGGAACAAGTACAAATTGAAACCTTTAAAAAAATTTTTTTATTTTTTTGAAATAGTTAAAAACACACACACACACACACACGCACCACACATTTAAAAATATTCTGAGCTTCCACGCCGCATCAATTAAGACACTTGACTCAGGTCAACCTGCAGGATGTTGGGACTGTAAAATGCACACCCTTAATCAGCACTGGAGTGAAAACAATTTCAAATACTAACGAAATTTTACAGCCCATGAAAAGAGTCACTTCAGCAGGCGTTCTGAGGCTTTTATAAAATGCAACAACTGTAGATTTGTTAAGTTGCATTGTGGGGGCTTTATCAATTTTATAGCTGTTCTCTAAGCATTTCTAAAAACACTTTATCTGCTGCTTCATTCAATGCATAAGCACTTGTGGGCCTCCTCTTGTTTTGTCCGTGGACTTTTATGGGGACAAGGGCCTAAAGAGTAGCCTGCTCTTGTAGGTCCTGTTTGGAAACAAGTGCTCAATGAATGTTACAAAATAAACACGATGAGAAATAACCAGAGACAGTTCCTTTGGCATTAAAAGGAGGGAGACTTAATAAAAGGAGTGAAGCAGTCACCCTTCAGTGAGAAACGCTTTGAAGTAGAACTTATTATCTGAGAAATACTTTTTGGTTGTCCTAACGACGCTGCTGAATGGGAAAGGCACTCCTTTGTCAGCGATTTGTTCTCCTTTAGTGGGATGCCCGTGGAAATCACTTACATGGGCCACCTTAACATACTGCCTGCAAATCAGTAACTGGCAGAGTCAGACATGCAGACGCCACTTTAGAGAGGACAAAGCAAAAAGTCGCAGTGAAAACGCCGCTGCTTCTCAATTGCGCCCTTTAAAGAGGTTGAATGATAATTTCTCTGACGAGCGTAGAACCAAAACAAATGCTGTCTTGTCAGACTTTACAAGCATTATCCATCTCCTGAATACTGTTGGCACAATGTGCACGAAAATGGCTTGTGAAGTGATCATTTTGGTCACAAAAGTTAAGAGGCTCTGTTAGAAGCGCAGGTCATTTGATCCGAGCACCTGCGCCTTGAACGGCAGTGTGCATGGCTCACCTTGATGGCAACAGAACAGTGTTCAGTTTTTTAGTTGTTGTTTTTTTTAATGGGGAGGTAAAGATTTTTTTTTTTATTATTTAACTTTGGTTTGATCTTGTAAACAAGAAAGCAGGTGTATGGAGAAGAAATACCCATGCCACCACCACAACCCTCCCCTCCACCCAGAAATCATATATAGCCAAACAGCAGCACCTTGTGACAGTTTTGACACGTTTTTTAGCCCAGTCACAAAATGAAATCTCACTTTTCTTGTTCCTAAATATGACACGTGAATAATAACACCAATTGCTTGTTACACGGAAGCAAAGACCCCTGGAAATAAGAAATAGGGTGTGTGGGTAAATGGAGTAGAGCGTATTCGGTGTATTTATACCAATTTAGTAAAGCTACAGTCCAAATTGATGAGCATTCTAGTCAAATATAGGCCATGTTTCAGATGAAAATAGGTTTCAATTTATTTTTATGTTGCTTAATGTGGGTGGGCTAATAGTGAAAATCCCATCAGATTTTTATTGCCACTTTTCACTGCACCCTGTTCTGTAAATCCCCAAGAAAAGAGGGTTTTAACATATTAACTGTGCACTGTTAAACTTTGCTGTGAAGTTCAGCAATGATAAGAAATGTGTTGTTTTACAAAATTATTGCGAACTATAAACACATTTAAAGTCGAAATACTGATAGGCCTATTCTAATGCTTTAGCCTATGCGTCTTTGGCACAGAAGTATGCTACACACCTGTTTTCTGCCCGAGTCTAAACTTTCTCACAGCGTGAAGTCTCCGTAGTTCACATTCTCCATTTCTTTACAAACGCACGGTTTAACAGCCACATATTTGCTATCCAGGCATTTTGCCAGCGTTTTCCAAACTCCCTACCTGGCTACTGTCTTGTTTCATGAACAAGTCAGAAAACAACGCAGTCCCGTTGCTGTTGCACCTCTCCCGGTTGATTCGAGAGTCTCAACTCCAAGACTGCCTTCGGAGCTGTTTTTTTTTTTTTTTCTTCTAATAGAAGCAGGCGCACAGACTCAGCTTTTATTCTGCTAGAGCAGCGAACAGTCAGTGTAGGTTTTACAGTACGTATGCAGTACAGCCTGCAGGGGACAATTCGGCAGCAAGTTCAAGGGGCGACTCAAAACTTCTGTATTTTTGAAGAAGGACTCATTCCCTCTGGTTTATGGATCTTGGAAGCTGGGGGTGAAACTCTAAATTCTTTGACCGGGTTTACACTCGGACTGTCGGACGTCTGCAGGGAGAATGTCGCTGCTCTCCAGCCCTACTTCAGCAGTTGTGGTTTCACCTATTAGCCCCGATGTCTTTCCCAAAGGAGTGCGAGAGTTAAACATCTGACAATGGGCACGCCGGGGGGTTACTCAACTGACCTGTACTTGGTTTTAGTTTCATAGGAACTTCATTAAATCAATTACCCAGTGAGCACATCATGATTTTTTTTGTAATTTAATGACAAAAATGTTTTTTTTCCCTTCATATGTTTAGCCTATTCTATAGAGCAACCTGAAAGAATGAGGGCTTTAGGCGCTTCTAGGATTAAATATAATCATAACCTGCACTGTGTTGTGAAGGAAAATGGTTTATTCTTGCTCTGACATTTAGACAGTGTTGTTTCTCACCTTCCATCTCAAGCTGAGTGGCACTAAGGTAGAATGCCAGCAGTCACAACAGCTTCTCATTGTTCTTCTGTTTGAGAGACCATCCTGGAAATAATTTGTGTTTTCAATGTAAAAAAAAAAAAAAAGGAATAAAATTAATGTAAAAAACAGAACAGACATTACTGTTCAGACAGAAATTAAAGACAAACTGTTTGGAAATTTGCAGTAAGGCTGGCCTCT